AAAATTGTATTCGGCTTCTTGTTGTACTTCATGTAGCTTTTGCTAATATACACTGCATTATATTGCAATTATACTCAATTTACTATGTGACCATTTGAATGTGATGCTCCCGGCCCTGACGGCCTCATATCGGAACTTGCGGCCCATCACCCTGATCTCAGCACCGCCTATATGTGTCTCATTGCCCCACATCGCTGCAGCCGTCAAATAATATGCTGACTGCCACAATTCCCTGGTGCAAAAATAAAATCCACAAGGTATCAAGAATTCTGACAGCAGCCCATCTCATGACATGGATAACTCGAGCTCTGAATATCTTGCCTACTCAACACCACTACCCACAGTAAATATTCTCGGCCTTTTGTTTTGCTGAACTCACCATCCAAGCTGCTTCGAAAGCCGAATACCCATCCATATAAGCTCAGAAAACCAATACTCAGTGCACTTTCACCGATGAGGTGCCGTATATTGCCTCGTCTCATGTTGTGGAAGCCTAGGAGGCTGTCCCGCACATCGATGACCTGACTCCCATCTTGAAATTGAAAGAGATGAAGGGGTAGCTTTTCACCGTGGTTCTCAGGTCTGACTTTCATGTAAACAGTGAGAATTTGGAAAGTGGTCATGTTCTGAGGAAATCTCACTCTGGACACATTTATAAGTGTGCACTGTGTCGTAAGGAGGGCTAAACTCGTTCCAACTGTCCCAATATAGAGTAACCATAGTCTCCCTAGTTATTGTTTCTATTTTTTTTTTTTTTTTGGAATTTTGGTGGGGAAAAAAAACCTGGCCCGTCCGAAACCGTAGGTCTGCCTTCCGGATTAGGAAAGTCCTAATCGGGAACCCCTTCCTGGAGCTCAGTGAGATTATGGTGGGTTGTTTTAGCCCAGAGGTGATATGTATTGACTTTCTAAGGTATTTGGTCTTCAAAAAAAACTGCTGAACTAAAGAATTGGGGTGTGGTGCATGTTTTAGTTTACGATCATGTGGCTGTGCATGAAAGTCGCACGACAAGAATTTTGGTTTCTGGTAGCAGCTTAGATGGTTAAATCGAAATAAAAATACTTATAGATACCTGGGCATGCTGTCTGAGACTATGGTCACTTCTAAGGTCATAAATACACATAGTTGCCACAGAGCAACAGTCGCAGCGGAAGGTCGACCTACTGTTATCACCTAACAAGTAAAACTAGACTTAGATACATATTCACTTATTTCATGAGGTTATCCCTTCCATTCAGCTGCAGGCACAATATTCTTTTATAAGTGGCGGAAGCTCCTGTCCGACCTCCCAAAGTGTGCTTTGAACTGGTCCGGGTGGACAAGTTCACGGCGCAGTACTGGCGGCAGAGTCTATTTTTACCAGTCGACCCGGCGCCTTACGGAGCTACCGGCCGGCGGGGTTTCTCAAGAAACCCGGGTCGCCATCAACACAGCGAATATTGGAGGGGTTTCTCTGAGAAATCGGGTTTCTCATTAGAATTATCCCGACTTTGACGACCTCGTGGCAACCGCCAAAATATTACACCGCACGTATTCGACCGCCGGAGCTCGAGATCATGCTATCTTCGACACCGGTACAACAAGTGCATGGGCAAAAACAATACCAACGGGGTCTCCATGGGTGCCGATGGATGTGGAAGACTCTAGCGTCGACCAGAAGAAGAAGAAGAAACCTTCCAAAAAGAAGGCAAAACCTGTTCCACCTCCTTGCAAAGGGGATTTCGTACTTGCTCAGGCCATTGATTTCTTCCGAGATGCCATCAACTCACGGAAAATCTCGTTTGCAGTCGCTGAAGGCAACGTAGGGCGTCTGTATGAATGTCTCAAAGTGAGTAGTAGTATTTCTGAAACTATCCGTTGCTGATCAACCAAGTATATGCTATTCACATTTGCGGGGTCCACACACACCAATTACATGGCCTACCTGCTCGAGACAATCATCAATCTCGAGCTCGAATCGAGCCCGGGACTCAAAGAAGCATTGCTTCTTTGCCTCTTGATCAATCTAACGGGACTCATAGGGCATTTTGAGGAGGGTGATTATGTTGTCGAGTTCTTCAACAGATTACTGGAGGATGTCGTGCAGCACAAGAATGCACAGTTCGATGATAACTTCATTCGGAATGTCGTTTCTCGCAACCTGCGCCACATTGCAGAACTCAAGCTGGCATGGCGCACAGGGACCGGGATGGCAGCCAAGTCCAAGAAGCACAGCGACCCGCACACCAATCCGGAGCTGCGTATTTTGCTCAAGGTTTACCGCGCCGAGGAGCTTCATTGCCGGCGCTTGGGGAGAAAGATTGATGATCGCGACACTGACGATTTCGCGAAGGGCATCAAGAAGCTTCGTACGGGGGCTCTCGAAAAATTCATCAGAAAATCACTACGAACACGGCAAACCAAGCGGCCTGCGAACTCCACCCCATCTGCGGCGATGAACAACGACTCCGATGGTGAAAGCGAGGACGAGCCTTCCTCCGACGAATCCGGAGATTCCGATGCAGAGAATTGCTTGTACGCGACCCGGGGATCCATGGCAGTGGATGGTCAGCTTGTAATGGATGACCGGGATATGATGCTGGGACCGGAGGCTGATGAGGAACTCGGAGGAATGGAAGGAAAAGACGAGGCAGAGGATGAAGCTGACGGCGATGTAAGCAATGATGACGAATAGATTCACCTTTCCGCACCGTTTGGATTTTAGAGTGGTCCAGTAGCCGTTGCAGCGGCCTTTGTAGCGGCAGTCTTTTCCTTCCGCATCCGCGCGAATGTCACTTGCAGCTCTTCAATGACACTGTGGAGCTGTTCATGTCGGCCCACCATGCCTGCAACATTCTTGACTACCTTCGACAGGTCGTCCGTAGTTTTGTATCGGACAAAATTATCCAAGATTAACTTGATCATGACGTCCGGGAGGAACTCTGTGAGCGGCATCAAGCCCGTGTCTCGATCCGAAGCCTCAGACCAAATCAGGAAACGGAATTCCTCCAGGCGCGAAGTCCCAACTTGCTTCATGACCTTCGTGAGTCGCTGGCCCTGTGGTATATCAGATGGTGCCTTCTTCTCCTTCGGAGGGGGCGTGTAAAGCTCGCTCGAAACCTCTGGGAGACAGCCGCTGCACCGGCACAGATCTGGTCGAGCCGCGGGAGGGTGAGCAAGACATGTCCGGCAGGGACACTCCGGATCTGCAACGGGATTGTCGTACAACTCATCCTGTACCGCTGGTTTGCAGCGGGCGCTGATTATCTCTGCTGCTCCCCTATCCATTGCGACCGTTCCATCTGTCTTCGCATCTGCAGCGTTCTCAGCATCCGTCTGGGAAATGATTTTGAGAGCTTTCGCTTGGCGACTAGCGGACACGTAGAATATGGCGCGCGGGTCAACCATGGGAGGGCGAAGCCGACCCGGCTTTTGAACAGCCATCTCGGCGCTCTCGGGTTCCCCAACTTGTATGACAGTTTTAACGACTGAAAGATCGTTCCCTTGAGCAAGGCCACTGGTTGATACAATGATCTGGCATCGGGGATCTGACTTGAAGAGCACAATAGTTTCGAGATTTTCATCAGGCCAGTTGATTGAATGGTATGTGCGAATGCGAACACTGCGGTCGCCTTCTGTCAGGAGTGAGTCGAGGTATATCTTGATTCGGAAAACGAGGCTGATTGTCGCTGCAAAAATGATTGTTTTGTCCCAATTTTTGACGACCCAAGCGATTTCGGGGAAGTATAAACCGTCAATTCCGGAGTGGAGTGTTCGGAACAGGATCTGGAAGTCATGCCGTGCATTCGAGCGGTGAATGAGGTAGAACTCCCCGCGGTTGACACCCAGCATGTTGAAGATTGCGTCGGAGACTTTGGGATCGGAAAGGAGTGTTGCCGTTAATCCAATGATCGGGATGCCGGGACGGAAGCGGGCACGCATGAAACCAATCTGGGTAAAGGCTTTCCGGAATGCGAGCCCCCAGATTACGAGAAGATGGATTTCATCTACCCCGAGAGCGCAGACACGTTCAAAGAAGGCCTCATGCTTAAGCAAGTCTTGAAAGCCCTTTGATATTAGCTGCTCTGGGCCAAGGATAAGCATCGAAATCCCTTCGCGTGCCCTGATCCAGAGATTCTCCCCGCGAAGCCGAGCAGACGCGATTGTGTCAGAATTGATCATCAGCGCGGAGACACCGAGTTTGGCCATGTTCTCCTCCTGCAAGTTGTCAATCTCATGTGCGCTAGAAATAGGTCAAACCCGTAGACTCACCATTTGCTGTTCTATTGAATTTGTGGGGCAAATGACGACAATCGCTGGATCTTTTGGGAACGTCAGGCTTGGACATAAGGACGGATTGGCCGCGATGGATATCATGACAATAATGGACAGAAAAAGGAAACCTGTCTTCCCAGACCCGGTCGGAGTAATTGCTACGAGGTCAATTTTGTCGAGGACCTTGCAAATACCATCCATTTGATAGCTGTGCGCCTCAAATGTGGGGAGGGCGGCGAGTAGGATGTTTCGGACCAGTGTAAAGCCTTCTGCTGAGGAAAAAGTGAAGGAATTAACATAGGTTGCACTGCAGAGGAGGAAAACCAGGATGAGAAGCCATTGCGCGGCCATACTGGCGCGGATGTGATGGGCGCGTCTGAGCGTATGTGGTGATGTTTGCAAGTCACGCTTTTGATCGATCTCCGAAACCTGACCTTCGGTATCAATCCATCAAGTAAATCTAGACTAGGAGCGGTGCAAGGAGGGATCGGACGTCAAACGAAAGCGGTGCTACGGACAAACACGTGCAACTAAAGCTCGGGTATTTTCTCTTCGTCTTGTCATCTTGTCGCGATCTGCGTATCGGGACTTGCAGAACGTTCAAAGGTTTGTGGAACGGAAGAGCAGGAGATGACCCTGGTTCGAATCCAGGCTGGGTCATTCAAGTGGCGCATTGTGTTTTCTTGAAAACGCGGCAACGTAAAAGTGGTTTGCGTGTCTATTGAGGACTCAAGGGTGCCTAGGAAGACCCAGTAGCGAGAGGCATCGCATCGGCGCAGCATATGGGTCATCGCTATAAGCTTTAAAGCCGGAGATCCTGGTTCGAATCCAGGCGGGGTCACCAGGGAAACGTCATGGTATCCTTTTTGTTGAAAACGCGCAAACGCGAAGCAGTACCATGTAAATCGAGAAACTTGAGAAGGCGCAGTAGCGAGAGGTATCGAGCCCGCAGTACGGTGGGAGCATTTCAGCCCGTTAATCCTGGTTTGAGTCCAGGCTAGGTCATTGCTAAAAATTGTGGCCTTTTTTCTTGAAAACGCGCCAACGGCCAAGTGATTGGCGGGTACATTGAGGATCTACAGCTGAGAAGGAGGACCTAGTAGCGAGAGGAATCGCACCGGCGCAACATGCCCGATGTTATTGCGAGAAGCTTTCAAGCCGGAAGCCCTGGTTCGATTCCAGGCTGGGTCATAATTGGTAAGGGTCGCGTCGTTTTTTTCTTTTTTCTTTTGTGGAGAGGAAATTGAGGGTCGGGGTGTGCATGTAAATCGAGGCTCGGAGGGAACAGAATTGACTCAGCTGCGGGAGGTTATGAGGCGTAAGCTCGTGGTGGAAGGCGAGTCTCTTACATGTACACCAAATCTTACTCTGGAATCGTCCCTCGTTGCGGAATGCGTTGCGCTGTCAGTAGTTGCTTACACGTTACTCGGACTAGTGCTGGCCGAATACAAATACGATACGGCAAATGGCGTATCGTATTCATATTCATATCGTATTCACCTCGGAGGGCCCGTATCATATTTGTAGTGTATCATATTCATATTCAACCCACTGAATATGAATACGATATGAATATATTCAAATATATTCAAATATATTCTACCCCTCGTGAATTCTGATATAGTCAGTGTAGTTTACCCCCTCCGCAAGGCCCAACTTCAACCGTTCCTTGCAAACAACATCCACAGACACCGTGTCCACTGTCTGCAGTCATGGATGCCCGAGCATCATTCAGCAAAGTCTTCAAATCCATGTTGAGTGACTCGGAGTCGGCCATTGATGCGTCACAAGTGAGGGAAGAAATTCTGGCTTCTGTCCGGTTGTTTGCTGATGTGCTGTCAGCTGTGCAGCAGCTTGATCCGCTTGTCGTACGCACAATTGCCGCCAAGATTGCCGCTGGGCCGATCGTGATTGACAGTGATGGCCGTAACTGATTATATTTGAATACGCCGACGGCCGTATCGTATTATATCCATATCATATCATATTCATATTCAGTCGTATTCATATTCTTGTGGACGTCCCGGGGCCGTATCGTATCTGTATGTATTCGAATATATTCAAAATATATTTTGGCGTATCGTATTTATGGACAGCACTAGTTACTCCTGGTTCGAATGCAGGGCGGGACATACCCATAAACACGTCTTCCCCCCCCCCCCCCCCGTCCCTGCATCGCAGACTTACATGAGTACCTCCCAATACCGATCGAATGGGCCCAACATATTTCCATCGGCCCAAAATAATTCGCGGGAAGCAAGAAAGAAGCCGGCCGCGTGGCTGTGGCTGTGCCGCGTGACAATCTTTTAATTACAGCTGATTTCGAATCTAATGAGATCACGCGTTTTTTTTTTGTGCGTTCCCAAAAAGGAAATTACCGTCTTTCGAAATGAAATCCCAATAAAACACGGATTTTGAACATATTCTAACGTTCAGTCTGTCATGAGGGAAATGGTACCTCCTGCCGGTAAGTAAACATAACCTGCTGAGCATCTTCGGGAGTCGGAATGGCACTCAGACAACGGATCATTGATTGGCAGGTGTGACCTCCGAGGCCGGTGTGACGCGACGTGTCCATCCTCCTCTCTTCTCTTTCTTGCATCCTTCGGGGTGATTTCTTGTCTATGGAACCCTCTACTCCCATTACGACACGCTCTAAAGCTCGCAAACGATCCGCGAATGAGGTAACTGACATAAATATAGATATCCAGGAAGTGATTTCCAGCGTCCCTGGAGGTGCGTTAGCTATCCGCCCCATGGCTGCTTTTTTGCGGTTCAATCATCTATCTTCAGCTGCTAAATACTTCCGTCCTGTTGCCCCTCCTGCAAAGAAATCTAAGACGTCGGAGACCCGAACGAGGGCATCAAAGCCCGCAGCGAAACGGGGCAAGAAGAAATCGACATCAGCTCCGGCTGCTACACCCAGACAGCGCGCCGACAATTCGGACCTAACTGCAGGTCCTTCGCCTCCCGAAACCGTCGAAATCGATAGCAGTGATTCCGATTCCGATATCATAAACGGCCTATATACTCTGGGCGAAAAGCCTACTACCTATCGTTTCAAGCAAGAGAATCCCTCGACCTCTCATAAAAAGGCTGCGCGGAAGGCCCCAGAACTCGAATTTGAACCGACCCCCGAGCCTGAAGATATCAGAGATTGCACAGTCTACGTCTATGTCTCGAAACCGACCGCCGCCCCTACTTCCAAGGTCAAAGCGCCACCTCCCGTCGTAGCAGAGCGTGGACCCTTCTTCTTCCCCTTGAACTCTACATTCACCAATTTTTGTGACCGCCTCGCTGTTGCTGTTGGCTGCCGAACCGCAGCTCTCAATCTTCCGATGACAAAGTGGAAATACATGAAGCCGACGAAAGATCATCTGAAGGCCCTCGGGACGCAGGATGGCTATAAGGCGATGAGGCTGTCCATGCAAGAGCGCTCAAAGGACCTGATAATTGAGGTTCATATGGCTCCGCCACTGCTTTTGGCCGCCGATCTCGTACGTCTCTCGTCATGTCTGCAGTGTGAAGCTGAGTTCCATTACTCAAAGCCTTATGAAACCGATGACTACAAGCCTCCTGACTCCTTCGAGGAGCTTGACGCCCCTGCGGCTTCTTCCGTTCGCCAACAGATGGTACTTTTTCTATTTCTTCGTCTTTGGTATGACAATTTCAACCCCACTGTTAGGCTACTCTCGATGCATCCGCGGCGCCCGTAATGGAACAGCTACGCGAACGGTACCCTATCGGAAACCATCCCTCCTTTCCCACCAAACGCATCGTGACCAGTACGACGAATCCAGATCGTCACTGGGAGCTTACGGATATCCGCATACGGGTCTGGGCTGCGCACATAGTGAGTATATGCGTCTCCTTTGCTTGAAAATGGCTGATCTGTTGGTATAGCTTCAGGACAAGGCGACATTGGATGAATATCCCAAATCAGCACATTTTAGCGAGGAGCAGCGCCTTCGTGCTCCACACACGCCCGCGCCGGTGCCGCTAGCCCCTCCTATCGCTCCTCCCCAGCTTCCCATCCCCGCTGCTGTTCCCGCCCCTGCTGTTCCCGCTGCGACTGCAACCAACGCTACCGATCTGTTGCTCCTGCTACTTGCTCAACAAATGACTGCGAACAATAAACCTGTTGTACCTACTGCTGATCCTCTTCCACTCGCGGCGCCCACACTTCCTTCCACCCCAGCGCCCGGACATTCCAGCCTCCCCTCTTCTCCGGCGGTAACTCTGAGCCGTTCAGTCTCACTCGCCGAATTTTGTACCTGCTACAGCATCTCTCCGGTTGACGAAACCAAACTTGCCGCGCTGGACTTCGTGCCTGGAGATCGAAACATCAAGAAGTTGGACAAATCAGATTGGGGAGATGTCGGTTTCAAACGCTTGGGATGGCTTCGCATCCTTGATGCGCACAGACGGTTTTTGAATGATATTCGGAATGGTTCGTTCGTATAAACCTTTTATACAGTCTTTGCATTGTTTCGTCGCTTGTTCGTAGTTATTACATCACTCAGCCCGTGTATCCTGCATGAATGAACCAGGCCCTCGCTTTCTCTGCGGTAATACATGCACACGCTTCTGTCAGTGCAAGAATGGGGTCGGGTGCGGACCGTATAGATTGGTTGTAACGACGGAGGTGTGCCTTCACTGCAGATGATGTCAGATAAATACTGAAAGACAGATATGAGGCGCATACAAGCACTAAACGACTCTTCTATTGGGTTCAAATCCGGCGAGTATGGCGGGAGAAACAGTAAAATGCATCCTTCAACGCCGATCAGACGTCGTGTTATTGTTGGATAGAGTATACGTACCAGCACCATTGACAAGCTCCTCGAGCATGGTATTGTGATGAATACGACAGTTATCGAGGATTAGAACACTCCGTTCGGAGTCCGGGGTGTATGGATTCATCTGGGGAATCTGGAATATCGCTGATTGTAAGTTGTCCAAAACAAAGAAACCAAAAGTGAAGCACGCACGACAGACTCTGCAATGAAATCGAAGAAAAGCAGTGCATCGAAAGACCCTTCAACAACTTTCACAGCAATGTATGGTTGCAGACAGAACTTCGTGACAAGTTTTTGTCCCGATTTGGAAATCACTACTGACACCCCAGTTTTTATCGAGATACAATGTTATTGTGTAAATAGGACTATAAGAAGGTCCTCTATGGATCCCTCGGAGTAAAACTTTGAAAAGTGGGAAAAATGTTTTTCGTCAGCAAGATTTTGCGTTTTCGGCTCGGGCCGGTATTAACCGGTGGCTGTGCTTCGGATCAATTTCCCTTTTCGGTCTATAGGCAAGGGGCTACCGATTCCCGAAAAATATACCTTATGTCGAAATTCTTTGCTCAGAGAGGCAAGGGGGGACCCTCCCTCCCCACGTGATGGGAAAGTGTCCATATATGGGAATTTCCATCAGATGGCGCTCGGTTACTGGTCGGGTAATATTTGCCGAGGTCCCGGAACATTTGCCGAGTTCCCCCGCAGCTACGCGGCCACGCTGCACCTCTTCATCTGAGAGCATAATCACACTGAGACTAAGTTGAATAGTCTTACTGCATCTTGCAACATGCAAGCTACAACCCTGTGAAGTTCTGCACACACTATTGCCTATCAAACTTGTCTTCAACCCATTTTCTGGTGCAAAGTTCAGCTTGAAAAGGCCTGTCCTGTAACTTATCCTGTTTGACAAGATTCAGGAATACATGAATAGCCCAAGCTTATAAGCCTTTAGGAAATCTTGTAAATGTTCCCTCAAAAACTCAATATAATAGTCATATCAGCCACACGCGACACGTTCTGGGTCCGCCAAGAAGCTTGAGACTTC